GTCCTCTCTCGTCCTCTCTCCTCTCGCTCTCTTTCTCTCTCTCTCTCTCTCTCTCTCTCTCTCGCTCTCTCTCTCTCTCGATATCGTCGCGCGCTTTCAGCGGGAATTGCGACTCGTTCACAAATTCGATATCTGCATCTTAAAGCACAATTGAAGTCAAATTTTGTAACTTTTTGTAAATTCAGGGAACTTCTGTAACGTTTTTATAAATTATACATAGAAATACATTCAATAACGTATTCCATTTCAAATCCGGCGCCCAATTAGTAATAAACACATGAATAGTAATCTAGGTTATGTGACGTCACGGCCCGAAGTTGAGCGACGCCATTATGTAAACATAGTGCGTGCGGTGGTTAAATATTTGATGTTTTTCGTTATTTCTCATGCTTATCTATCATGTCAAGACACAAACATGTAGCCTGTAAATGTACTTATATTCATGTACATACATATTACCTGTGTGGATAATGCATTCACAATTTCACGGTATATGTACATGACTTGCGTAGATACATGTACATGTACAGATACATCTGATTCTGACCGAGCGTGATAAGCCCGGTGATCAGTGTACTCGCATGACTCACCTGGTCTAGCGTCGAACTGGTCTACAATAACCCTGGTCTTCTCATTCTCATGGCCGCATATACATTCAGATGCCGTACTCATTAATTCACAAACACCACAAGAACATCAGTATTTGTCTACAGTCCTATCGGGTACCGAAGCTTCCATTCCACCATGTTGTGACTGTTCTGATTCTTGAGAAGTTTGTGCCGACTCTTCGCATTGCTTTTTCAGACAATTCTCCTCAATTTCTTCTTGTGTATATTCAGGCTCGAACCTATATCCAACTGGTGAATCAATCACTATAAATATCATCATCACCTGCGTAATCACTAGAATCATTGAAATTATCGCTTTCTGTTTCTATCTTATACACAACACTCAACTTGCGTTAACGTGGCGTCGCTCAACTTGGGGCCGTGACGTCACATAACCTAGATTACTATTCATGTGTTTATTACTAATTGGGCGCCGGATTTGAAATGGAATACGTTGTTGAATGTATTTCTATGTATAAAAACGTTACAGAAGTTAGAAAATTTGACTTCAATTGTCCTTTAATGAGCCGAGCAGCGAGAGATAGAGAGAGAGAGAGAGAGAGAGAGAGAGAGAGAGAGAGAGAGAGAGAGAGAGAGAGAGAG